TCTCCCTCCCCCTCCTCTCCGCCTCCTCTCCCTCTTCCCTCCCCTCTCCCTCCTCCCTCTCTCCCTCCTTTCCTCTTCCCCTCCTTTCTTTCCTTTCTTCTTCAATAACAGCTTTATTGCGATATAATTCACTTAACCACAGAATTTCCCCTTTTAAATGGTACGGCTCAGAGGTTTTTATAACACTCGAGGAGTTATATAATCTTCGCCACAACTCTATAAAGCATCATTATCACAAACGAGGACGTGGAGACTCAGAGGGGTTAAGGGGCTTGGCCAAGGTCACACGGCTGTAGGTGGAGTTGTTGGCTGTGCTGGGGCCCAGGCAGGGTGACTCCGGGCCCACGCTGTTAGCCACGCTGCCTCCTGGACGCCCGCCGCAGGCCGCAGACTGGATCTCTGCGGAGCCTAAGGGTGACCGTGTCCCCGTGGTCTGGGTGCTTCTCCCCGCAGGTCTCCTGCTGCCCCATGAGCTTCTTCGACACGACCCCCACAGGCCGACTCCTGAACTGCTTCGCGGGGAACCTGGATCGGCTGGACCAGCTCCTGCGGGTCGTGATGGAGGAGTTTCTGCTGCTGTCCCTGGGGGTCGTCCTCAACCTGCTGATGGCCGCCGTGCTATCTCTGTACATCTTGCTCGTAGGGGTCCTCATGGCCATCCTGTGCATCACGTACTATGTGTGAGTGGGTTCTTCCTGCTCGTGGACTGGCTTTGTGAGTTGGGGTGCGACATTGGGGCCAACCTAGACTTGGGTGGTCCCAAGGAGGGAGGGCTGGCCCATGTCACCCGCGGTCCTTCTCGCCGCAGGAATTTCAAGAGGGCCATCGACGTGTTCAAGAGCCTGGAGGTCTATCACCGGTCACCTCCGGTCTCGCACATCCTCACCTCGCTGCGCGGCCTCAGCTCCACCCCCGTCTACGGAAAAACGGAAGATTCTGTGAAGGAGTGAGTCGTGCCGCCGCGGAGGACGACGGCCCGTGGGGAGCGGGCGGGGAGGTCGGAGTCGAGCATCCGTAGGACGGTGCTCGCGAGGATGACCGACGCCAGCGTGTAGGAAATGTCTGGGAAGCTGCAGGTGGCGCGCGCGGACCGAGTTCGCGGTGAGAAGCGTCACGGGCTCGGCTCTGTCCTGCTTTTTTTCCTTTGCTTCCAAGCAGGAATCTAACCCTAACAGGATAATAAGGAACGATGGCTTTCTAGGCAACAGAATTTCCTTCGGTTAGTCACACCCATAGCTTTGCCTTCGAAACGTTGGTTGCAGCAAACAAACGAGAAACCCTCTGATTGCCGCCGGGGCTTAACTGTGCAATATGGACTTTCCTGCTTCTAAAGATCCATCAGATACGGCCTGTGCCGGACCACGGTGGGGGACGGGAGACGCAAGGAAATGACATTTTCGTAACGACCTCGCGTCGAACGGGAGACGGCGTGGGAGTGGAGCAGATAAAACGCCACAAGGGTTCAGAGGGAGAAGAGGGGGCCTGCAGCTGGGGCTCCAGGAAGCCTCGGGCAGGGGCTGGCGTCCGAGCTGGCCTCGCGGCCGGACGCTGGAGGAAGCAGCCGGTGCCCTCTTGGGAAACCGTGGGTCAGACAGACACATGTGGTTTTCACGTTGACCTTTGTCTCTCAGGTTTGAAGAGCCGATCGACGTACAGAGCAGCTACCTGCTGATGCTCCTGTCGTCCACGCGATGGGTGGCACTGAGGCTGGAGCTCGTGACCAACGTGGTGACCTTGGTCGTGGCCTTGTTCGTGACTTTCGGCACTTCCTCGGTCCCCTATTCCTATAAAGCCATGGTTATCAACTTAATTCTGCAGGTGAGGGAGAGACCCCAAGACCAGGGCAGGGCGGGGGTCGGTCTGTAGCCCGTGGGCCGACCCGGGAGATCCATGGGACGCTGATTACGTCCTGGCTTTTGGCCGTGTGTGAGCTGCTGAGCCACGTGCTTGGCCTTCGGACTGGGCCGCTTCGCTCTGTTTCTGTCGGCTCTGAACTCGGAAGTCTGTACGTAACGATATTTAGTGGAATCGTAGACTGATTGGAATTGAAGGGAGCCCACGGGCGACAGAGTCCACCCCTCTCATTGTGCAGATGGGGAAACCGAGGCCCACGGGGGGAGGAGTTGTCCGAACGGGCGGAGGGTTAAAAGCAGAGCCAGAACAAGAACAACAACATCTGGGTTGTCTGGCTGGTGCCTTTTCACGTCACCATTCGTGCTCGGGGCCAGTCACTGAGTTTTCTGAGGCGTCCGAGGAGGCTGTTGGAAATGCGGGGGTCCCAGTCCTCCCTGGAGCTGGGGTTCCTGGACTTTACAGAGCATAGGGACGAGGGCGTGTCACTGAGGTCTGTCCTAGGCCACCAGCGCTTGGCTCTGCTGGGGTCTCCCGAGAAGCACGTGGGACGCTCCCAGCCTTATCTCGCCTGCAGGCGGGGACACAGGAGCCTTTATCTATCTAGTGGCTCCCATCCCCGGGCACTGCCCCGTGCTCCTGGCCGCACTGGGGCTGGGTGGGCAGCTGCAGTGTGGGCCGAGAGTGGAGGGCGCCCGTGGGACTCTTGCCCAGAATGGCACCCAAGTGCAGGGGTGGGCTCCATGCTCTTGGTTTGAGGAGTCACTTGAGGCCAGAGGCGGCAAGCGGTTTTCAGGAGCATGAGAGCCTGAGCTCGCCCCAGCAGCCACTGGCCCTGACGCCTCTCCTCCGCTCCAGCTGGCGGGCAACCTCCAGGCCACCGCCTGGATGTGCTTGGAGGTGGAGGCGCACTTCACCGCGGCAGAGAGGATTCTGCAGTACATGCAGGTGGGACGCGGTCTGGGTGCGGGCGGGGGCTCTGCCTCCGAGCCGGGCCGGGCTCAGCCTCTGTAGCCTCTGCAAGCCCCCATCCCCGAGGCCCTGAGACCTTCGGGGCCCTTCCTCCCGTCGGCCCCGGGGCCTGTGTATGTCGCCTGGCTGAGGCCCTCCCATTCCACTGGCTCATTCTGACCAGCCCCTGTATGTGCCAGCGTTCCTGGGTGTAGATGGAATAATCTTCCTTTTCTAGAAATGAGAGGTTCACCAAGGCTGATGGTAATAATGATAATAATTGTTGGTACTACTGCTTTTGTTTACGTCACGGTATTTAGGTGCATAGATTTGGGGGCTGGATCACTGGGTTCAGGTCTCAGCTTTGCCATTTGAGTCAGCTGTGTAGCCTGGGGCAACCCATTCTCCTCTGTCCCCATCTCTGAAGCGGCAAAGATGGCAGTGTCTGCTTCACGGGGCTGCAGCAAAGAGTAAATTACGTGATGTGTAGAGGACATAGCCGTGCCTTGCCCACAGGAGAGGCTCCATGCTATCATACAGAAGTCGTCTCATGGAATCACAGAGCCATTTTATAAGGTCGATTGGATTATTATCCCCATTACACAGAAGAGGAAGCTGAGGCCAGGCCAGGCTGAGCATCTTGCTCAAGATAACACAGCCAGGGGCTGGCAGAGCCAGGCCACCTGCCCCTCTCACCCGAGTGGGCTTTGTGAACTGTGGAGCCGTGACTTAACCCTGAGGGGCGCCGTCGTGACACGGCGCTGGCAGTGGGGAGCTGGGACCGGTATCCAGGAGACCCTGCTTCTTGTCATCCTCCCCTCCAAACACACCCGACTGTGCTTGGCGCAGAGCCCTCGCCTGTCCACTCACCAGCTGTGTGAGCCGAAGCGAGTCGTCCAGCCTGCCCGAGCCTCCGTTCCCTTGCCTGTGAAATGCAGGTGAAAAGGCCTCGTACCTCAAGGGACGAGGACGGAGAGAGAACGGTCTGCACGGGGCTCCGAGCAGACAAACACGCCCCACAGGGCTCTGCCACGCTCGCTATCATTATTCTGGATTCTATGTCTCTAGAATCTCACACCTTTAATTAGGAAAAGTTCCCTATGTTAGTAATGAGAGGGCTAGCTATGTGGTTCATCACTCTTTAGGGACGAAACTCTCTGCCCTTCGGGTGAGTGGGGACAGGGATGTTCCTCTCGGGTGTCTTCTGATCCCATGGCCGGTGGCTTGACCACGATCAGGGCAGGCCCGGGCGGGAGCTGGCGGGTCAGCGGGGTGGTTGGAGATGGGGGGTAACCATTGATTTCTTTTTCTTTCTCCCAAAATAAGTTGTGTGCTCCTGAGGCTCCTTTACACATAGAAGGCAACGGCTGTCCCCACGGGTGGCCGCAGCATGGGGACATCACGCTCCAGGATTATCAGATGAGACACAGAGAGAACACACCCTTCATTCTCCGGGGCATCGGCCCGACGATCCGCGGCCGGGAAGTGGTGGGCATCGTGGGAAGGACGGGCTCCGGTGAGCCGAGCGCCCCGCGGACCCCCCGCCCTCGGCTCCGGCCTTCGGGGCTGGGCCTGTTTTTAGGCCTGGGTGTGCTGGGTGACGCCTCAGGGGTCTGCCGGCCCTCGCTCTGGGCTGGGCCCTGTGCCGGACACTGGCGAGCAAAACCCAAAGTCGCTGACGTCGCGGGGTTCAGCGGGGATCCTAGGTGTTAAGCGGGTCATTAGGTGGGAAGTAAATAAGATGCTTAACTGCAGATCGTGGCGAGTGCCTCGGACGAAGGAGAAGGGGGATGGTCAGAGCACGGTCGGCCGTCGGGGTCCGAGGCCGGCGCCCGAGCCGACACAGGAAGGGCGAACAGGGTGCAGGGGAGGGCGAGGAGTGAAATCTGGGCCCCCCTTTCCTTCTTGCCCTCCCCAGCCCTCCCTTCCTAGACCCCTCCTCAGCCCCCTCCCCTTTCCGGCTCATTTCCTTCCCTTCTGCTCCGAGCACTTTTGGGAGATCTGGCCCGAGTTTCACTCCCTCCCACTCTTCACATTGTTCAAACCCAGTGTTCAGAGACACTCGCCGCGCCCTCGGCCCGCCCTCGAGCACCCCCGGAGCCGCCTCCTCCAGGTAGCCCCTCCGGATGCCTAGAGCTTCCATGGGTGTGCCCTGATGGACTGCGTACACTCATCAGGCATTTCCTGAGCGTTAGGGGGGCAGGCAGTGGAACCGTGAAGGTGGACGGGACACCCGCTGCCACCCGTGAACCTTGACTTTGTCAAGTAGAGCAGAGGTTGATGCCGAGGGGCCTGGCAGGTAGCAGAGATGAGTGCACGGGGCCTGGGTTGGTGGGAGGAAGGCGAGGAGGGCCGTGCCCGGAGCTGGAGGACACTGTCCCCCCTCACGGAAGCCCTACACTCAGTTCCAGCTGCTTCCTGTCTGCGGGGGAGTGGACATGGGGCCAGTGTGGCCGGTCCTACTGTCGCTAGAGAAGCATGCTGTTTGAATTTTTATACATAGGACTTTGGATTTTTAAAATTCTGGCAAAGAATTTAAAAAATAACAGTAACGTCGTGTGTGAAACAAAGCCGGGTTTAATCCGGGGCTCCACGCGTGCCCCCCAGTCTCGGCTGTCGGGGAGCTGCTCGTGGCTTCGGGCACCGCCCGGAGCAGAGACTCCAGCCGCCTTCTGCTCGTCATGACAGCGGCTGGGCCATGGACGGGAGCAGGTCACATGTGCATGCCAGGCGTGACCCGAGCTGCCCAGTGCTGCCCCCAGCGCAGGGTCAGGAAGCCAAGGCCCCGCCCTTTGTCCCCACAGGGAAGTCCTCCTTGGCGGTGGCGCTGTACCGCCTGGTGGAGCCCACGGCGGGCCGGATTCTCATCGACGGCGTGGACATCTGTAGCATCGGCCTGGAGGACCTGCGGTCCAAGTTCTCCATCATCCCTCAAGATCCTATCCTGCTCTCAGGAACCATCAGGTGAGTGCGGGGCCAGAGGTGAGCCTGGGGCATGGCCAGGCTCCCAGAGGAGCGCGCTGGAGGCCAGGGCTGCTCTGGAGGCCAGGGCTGCTCTGGAGGCCAGGGCTGGCCTGCCTCGGTTAGCTGGCGGCCGCCACTCCAGCTTCTGGAACCCTCATGCCTGCTTGGCCCACCTCGTCGAGGCCTCAAAGATCAAATGAAGCCCCGATAAACACAGGGTCGCTCTGTAAACTCTGATGTCCAGACAGAAGCCAGACATAATTTTTGTCTTAAAACCCCGACGGGATTGGTCACGTCTCAGTTTGCTGTCCGGCGTCTGCACGGTGGCTTCCACACTCTCGTGTCTGCAGGCGGTGGGTTCTCTTCCCTCCGCCCACTGGGAAAAGCTCCTGGGGACATTTGGGGCCGGATGTTGGGAACTGCTGGTTTGCGGGGTACACATTCCAGGCAGGGGGATGAATCTAATGCCCCTGTATCGTATACTTATAAATGGTTGACATGATACATGTTCTGTGTGTACACACACACACCACACACACATACACACACACACACGCGCGCGTGCACGCGCGCGCACACACACACACACACACACACACACACACGAAGGGCGTAAGCTAAACAGGCCCCCTCCGGCTTGCCATACCGGCAAAGCCACGGCCGATGCTCGGCCCCAGCTTCCCCCGACGCCGTCTCGGCTTCATTCACAGGCTCTGAGGCAAGATGGCTGCAGCCTCTCCTGCTCTGGCTGAGAAAGGCTGAGCCTCTTTTCCAAGTCCTGGGGTGCATTCCGCTTGATTGCCTTATCACCCCAACTGGTCCCGGTAGCTGGGATTGCTCATGCTGACTCGCTTCCACCCGGGTCCCACCTCTGCAGTTGGGGGTAGAGCGTCACCTGGAGCCTGGGGACTCATATCTGGGGAGCCGGTGGCCCCCAAACAAAACTTGGGGTCTGCAGCCTGCAGAAGGGATGGGTACTGACTGGCACCAGAAATGAGCCCTCAAGGGAGCCCCGGGGGTCGTGTGGTCGCCGAGTGCCCTGTCCGTCCCCTCTGGCAGGTTCAACCTGGACCCTTTCGACTGCCACACGGATGAGCAGACCTGGGAGGCCTTGGAGAAGACTTTCCTGAGCAGCACGGTAAGAGCCCCGAGGCCCGATCGTGGGGTGCTCCGCGTGGTCTGCTGTTGGTCCCGGATCAGACCGCCCCACGGAGGCCAGATGCGCTGGGATCCCTAACTGAAGGCCGATGGTGCCCGGACACCAGCAGTGAGCCAGGCACATTCTAGGCCCAGGAGCACAGCAGAGGCGGGCGAGGCCTCTGTCCGCCTGCTTTACGTCACGGGAGGTGAAGGCCACAAGCCACGGGGCACGGAGACGCTTCCAGCTGGGTCAAGTGCTGTAGTGGCAGTGACTACACCGACAGACGCTTCAGGGGTGGGGTGGCTCCTCTGCACGGGCTGGCCAATCAGGGCTCCTGGAGGACGGGACATTTGAGCCGAGACCAGATACTGAGGGAACAATGACACGGAACATTCCAGGCACAGGGACTAGGGTACGCTCAGACCTCGAGGTGGGGGTGAGACTGCCGCAGGTGAGGAAGACCAGAGTGTGGGGGGGGAGGGGACTCGCGGACCGTGACAGGAGGGTTATGAGGGGGACAGGTCAGGTGTCACCGCAGACCTCCGTGCCGACGCCCCGTCTTCCCTGGCATCGCAGATCTCAAAGTTGCCCCAGCAGCTGCGGGCAAAAGTGGTGGCAAATGGGGCGGACTTCTCCGTGGGGGAGAGGCAGCTGCTCTGCATCGCTCGAGTGATCCTTCAGAAGCCCGAGGTGAGGCTCCTGACGGCCTGCGAGGTCACCGAGGGTGCCTGGCATGGGGACGCATCGGCCGTGTCCCCCTCCAGTACCACAGGACAATGGCACCATCCACAGGGCTCACTAATGTCACTAACTGCCATTCCACGCGTGTCCGTGGGGCGAGGCTGTCAGCCGGGGCTCCCTCAGACCCTGACACCTAAGTGACGTGGTCCCCCCAGAACCAAGTCATGACGTGCTTTTCTCACGAAAAGCCAAAAAGTTAGAAACTTAGGAATTTACAAACTTCCCACTGTACATTCTTTTTAAAACTTGGATGCAGGTGAGTCTTTTGTGTCCATTAGAACCGAGACTCAGAGGACAGCTGTCCCAGGGCGAAATCACGTGTTTAAAAAGTTTCATCTGACCATTTCTTGGCCTTTTCCAGATATTTCATGGTAATTTCGGGTATTCACCTACCTGGGCCAGTTAGGAGCAAGCTTTCTCTCACAGTCAGGCAGCGCGCACGCACACGCACACACATGTGCACACCCCTTCACACTCACGCTCGTATGCGTACGTGCACACATTTGCATGCGCACACACACTGCGCAAAACGCGGTTAATCAGTGATAAATGCAAACACTGCGGGTCCAGGCACTTGGAGGCGGGGAGCAGGTGCGGGCGGCGTGCGGGGGCTTCGCAGGAGAAAGGGCGCCCCCTCTTTCTGAGAGCGCCCAGCGGCGGGGTTTGCTCTGGGACGGAGCGCTTACTCTGCCTCTCGGTCCCGTTTCAGTTCCCGCTGCTGGGCTGGGGCTGCATTGTCTCCCAAAGCAGAGTCCGCAGTTGATGGTTTTTGTCATTTCTGTGTATCCTGTGATTTTCTCACGAAGCTCCCTTTCTAAAAACCGTCTCATCTTACACAGTAACGTCGGTGAAATCGTGCTTCCTGAGCTAGTTACCTTTTCCTAATGCATGCTGTGAATGAAATAACTACAAACACGTTCAAAAAAAAGGAACGATTATCCGTCTTCCGGCTACGCCGTCTCATGTGCCACTCAGGGCGTGTGTGTCCCACCCCCGTGGGGGACATCACTCTGCGCTAAGTCAGGCAAATTTGGAAGGCACTTCGTAAAACAAGAGGTTGCCACTGGGATGTCTTCATTTGCAAGAACTTAAGTCTCTGGACACTAAAAAATAGGTACCTCTTGGTCGAGAGCTGGCATTCTCTTTATAAGATAATGATAACTAGAACTCAAAGTGAGCCTTGACCTCGGTCCAGATTCCTGGCTCAGGGACTCTGGATCAAAGGCAGACCCAGGTCCAGGCCACGTCTCGGGGCCCAAGGAGGCCGCCTTCACCCAGCTTTGTGTCCCGCAGATCATCATCATCGATGAAGCCACGGCCTCCATCGACATGGAGACCGACAGGCTCATCCAGTACACGATCCGCGAGGCCTTCTGGGGCTGCACGGTGCTGGTCATCGCCCACCGCGTCACCACCATCCTCAGCTGTGACTGCATCCTGGTCCTGAGTAGCGGGAAGGTGAGGGTCACACCCGGGCCTGGGAAGACAGCCGGGTCCTTCCCGACCGAGCTCATCCGTGACCCTGTCCGCTGTCTTCTCCCAGGTCGTCGAGTTTGACAGGCCCGAGGTCCTGCAGAAGCAGCCCGGGTCAGTGTTTGCGTCCCTGCTGGCCGCGGCCCGTTCAGTGGGCTGAGGATCCGCCCGGAGGCTGGCAGCTGGGCACGCCGGCCCCACCAAGCGCTCGGCTGCGAGGCCTGTGGTCTGTGACCTTCTGGCCTAAAAATGGCTACTTCTCCCGAAAGCAGGGCTGGAATGGGCTGAGGTGTGGGTGCCGGTGACGGGATGGAAGCAGAAGTTGACGGAGCCCCTCTGTAGCTCCCCAAACCTGAGAGCCCCGGCATCGTTTAAGACTGTGGGGGCAAATGGCTGTGGGCCTCTTTCTAACTGATATGCTAAGTAATTTCATAATGATGTGAAAGCTTCTCCTAGTTTTCTGACCTGTGCAAAAGTATTGCGAATGACACACTGATTTTGTAAAAAACAAAATAAAGAAGTAGTCACGTCCTCTGTTCTTTCTGTGTGAGCTAATATGCTTCAGCTGCAGGGGACAGAGACGCCCTCACACGGGATTCTGGAGAAAGGGACTTTATTGGTTCATGGAACGGAAAGGTCTAGGATCAGTTCTGGGTCGGGTACCCGTGTCGAAAGGAAGCCCGCCTTGCAGACGCGCAGACTCTGCCCGTCTTCTTCGCTCAGCTCCGCTGTCCTGTGTTCGGCTTCCCTGTCCGGCTGCCACAGCCCTGGGCGCACATGCCACCAGCTCAGCACCCCCAGTGACGCGGGCAGATGCTCCAGGGCTAACCCTGACTGGGCTGACTTGGGTCACGTGCTCATTCCTGAACCAATCACGTGCTCGGTGATTGAAATATGGTGACCGGCCAGGCCCTGAGTCACAGGAATGGAGGCGGTTGTTTCTCCAAAATAAAGCTGGGGAGCCCTTGCTACATGGGGGGATGGGTATGGAGGCTGGGCGGACCCCAAACAGTAGCCGTCTACCGTGTGTGTTTAGATCTGTTTACTGATTGAAGTACATTGTCGATGGGTGGGATAAAGAGTTAAACAGAAATTCTGTAAATAGAAAAGGTAATTATTTTCAACTTACTTCCAGGGAGACCTCATTGCTGTGGGGAAGTATGTTTCAGAGTATTTTTGTTTTGTTTTCAGATTACGGAATCTGATTTTGCCGTAAGAAAAATCAATTCCGTAGGCAAACATTCCCCACTGTGTTTCTCGCAGTGGGTGCTGTGGGTGCTGTGGGCGCAGAGAAGTCCCTGAACCGCGGAGCGTGAGAAAAGTCAGCAAGTAAACGGGGGGTTCCAGAACCAAGCGACAGGAGATGGGACGAGGGGCGGCAGGCGTGCAGTCAGAGCGGGCTCCTGGCGGTGAGGCGGCACTTTACTGGGACCTGAGAAATGAACGCCCACGCTCAGGTGAGGGGTGCCGGGGCGACAAAGGCTGTTCCAGGCAGAGAACAGCAACCCAGGCCCCCGGGAAGGAGCTGTGACGAGGCCGATGCAGACGGGGAAGCGCGCGTGCCCGCTCGTGACACCGGCCCCTCCTCTTCCTCTCCGGGTCCTTAGGCAGCGCCCGCTTCTCTGCCCGGGGCGCTTCGCGGGTGACGGCCCCCTCGCGGGTGACGGCCACCCCCTCTCTCTCAGAGGTGCCTTTGGCCCCGTGGAGCCCTTTCCCCTCAGTTCTTGCCTTTCCTTCTCGGGCCCTGAAGACGTCCTGGGGCTCCCGCTGCATCGAGTCACAAGTCTGCAGGGTCGCAGAACCGCTCGTTTGTAGGTCGAAGGTGACTCTAGTCACCTGCCCTGCCCCCTCTCAGAACAGCCGCAGGACAACTGTGTGTCACCTGTGACAAAGCACTCCGCAGACTGAGTACTGTAGGCCCGGGAGACCTGACCAAACTGTCCTCTAAACAGGGTCCCCAACCCTGGGACGTGGACCGGTACTGGTCCATGGCCTGTCAGGAACCGGGCTGCACAGCAGGAGGCGAGCGGAGGGCCATCGAGCGAAGCTCCATCTGATTCTACAGCCGCTCCCCAGTGGGAGCATCACCGCCTCAGCTCCGCTCAGGTCATCAGGTGTTAGATTCTCATAGGAGGCACTGGCCCCGGTGCCACAGAGGTTGAGGACTCTAAGCCAACAGTTTAGCCGCCGTTGGCTCAAGTTGGCCAGCAGATGGCAGGCTCTTCCCAAAAATGTGGGAAGGTCTCATGGGCCTCAGATGTAGATCCACGGAGAGTCCCCAGGGAAAGTGTCCACACTGAGTCAGAGGACAGGAAACAGCCCGTGTCCTCTCCATCCCAGGCCCCCTCCACCTTCGCCCGCAGCCAGCTCTCTTCCCGGGAGGCTGCTCCCCTTGGCTGCACGTTGCAGTCACCCAGAGTTTGAAGACCACAGACGGCCACTCCTAGACGTCTCGTTTCGTTGATTTGGGGTGGACACTGAGTTTGGGGTGCTTTAGGTAATTCTAACGTGCAGCAAAACTTGAGGACCATTGGTTCCAAGTGTCAATAAAGCAGAATTTAAAAAAAATATATATATATTTTAATGGCATTGTGAATATTTTATTTCTTAAGCTGATAGGTGTAACGAGTTTGTTTTCTTTAAAAAATCCTTTGTATATTTCGGGGCATCTGAATTCTTTGTAATAAATTTTTAATAACTGACATTTCGGAAATACAAAAATAAGTGTAATGAGAGAATGTAGAACCTGTCTCTTCTTATATTTATTTAATGGTTTGCTATTTTTGCATTTTTAGTTACATCCTGGTGGAGAGGAGATCATAGCATTTTTAATGCCCAGGGGACCTAAAGTCCCTAACTGTCCCCAAGCACTGGCCTTCTGCCCGGTCAACAACTTCGACAGAAGCTGCGTGACGTGGTCCACATGACCTCGGGTAGATGTATAGACCGGCGGAGGCAGTAGTCCCGCTGGCCCTGCCTGCTCTCCGTCTCCAGGTCTGGACACTTATTTTAAGTGACACCTATTAGACGGAGGCTCTTCAAGGACAGCCATGTCCTGAGAGGGACCGGGATGGACGGGACAGATCAATCTTCAGTTTCCTAGGGCACTTCTTCTTGAAGCGGCTCCAGAGGGAGGGCCCAGACCCACGAGGCCCAGACATCCAGGCCATCGACAACGTCCCACCGGGGAGAGGCTGTCTTGAGGGGCAGGGGCTGGGAGCCTTTTCGGAGTCTGAAGCCTGTCCCCTGTGTAGGGTGAAGGGCACTGCTGACAGACCCAGGCCCCGAGAGCTTTCCCCGCAGGCTGAGCGACCCCAGGGATTCTGCGAGGCTGGGGAGTACCCCTGGGTGACTCCTGAGGGCAGGGGACTCTGGGAAGCCAGTACAAACACAGCAGTGGCGACCAGGGCAGGGGTCCTCACACTTGAATGAGCATGGAGATTGCCGGGCCCCACCCCCACACTTCCTGATCTGTAAGCCAGAGGTGGGGCTGAAGAATTTGTCTTTTTAACCATTCCCAGATGTTGCTGGTGCTGCTGACCTGGGGTCCACACTGGGAACCCAGAGGTCGGCCAGGGTCGCTCTGTCCCCTGCGATCCAGAGAGCGAGCATTCGAACCCGCCTTCTTCTGTGATCCCCACAGAAGGGGGTCCGTGTGTCTTTCCAGGGCACTCTTCTGCTTGAGGCCATGTTTTGGTTCAGACCTCACGTTCTCTCCATCACACTGACCGGGGAGAACTCGGCAACGCCCCTTCTTTCCGCTGCACGTGTCGACGGCTTCGGGGTCGCCGAGGACCAAAGGAGGGGTTTCTGTACCTTCCTCAGGCATACCTTCTTAACCAGCCTCTCCATTCCCCACTCCGCCACCCCCCGAGGCTCCAGGCTGTGTGCCACTGTCCTCCCGGGTGGCCCTGTCCCCACCTCCCCACGTGACCTGTACCGTACAGAGCAGCTCAGTTCTCGCTTTGCTTTGCGTGTCTTCTGCTGCCGAGCAAGGCCTCAGGGTCTCGGCGTCCACTCTCTGAACAAACACCATCTTCACGCTGACAAGCTCTGACGCCGGCCGTTAAGATGGTCGAGTTTCACCCCGTTATCCGGAATGTCCCCAGTCTACCCTCCTGTCTCATTTAAATAGCTCTATGGAATCCAGCTCTGTCACAGTCAGAAGCCACTTCGGAGGGGGTTGGTCCAGATGTCACTCGGCCTGCGGTCCACGGACACCTCAGCTAGACTCCGGGGAGCCAGGAATTGGATGGGAAAAATTATGACTTCATTTTAATAACTGAAATCTAGCATTTCCATTCAATATGAGGCAACGAACTATGTTAGTATTAGCAGTTCCTGTGACTTCGCTGATCGAAATCACAGAGATCCCTAAATCTCACTTGTGTTTCACTGCTTTGAAACTATAGCAGTCTTTAAACCTACTGCAAGATTACGTTATTTAATGCATCGGTATAGAATTATGTATGTTACGACATTCAGTTCTGGTTTTTAATGCATATTTTGATAACCCTGTTTCAGTATCATCTTTATTTTTGCAACCCTATGTGCTTTATTTTATGCACTAGAAACACTACTCAGAGGACACACTAGCACGACAGAGAGATCGAGGGCACAAAAACGGGTAAGGACACATCTAGTTCTTTGATTTCATAGAGGGAAACTGAGTCTGGGACAGACGAGGTCCTGGCCCACAACTGCACCATTAGCTTTGCACAGGCTGGTTTGGGACTTGAGTGTACGCCAGGGGGGACAGGACAGGAGAGAAGGGACAGGTGAGCAGCAAGGGCTGGGGGTAAAGGCCTCGCCCCGCCAGAGCAAGGATGCTCCTTGCCAAATCCTTGGTTCCCGAATGCTTTGTGCTCTGTACTCCAGTGACAACCGTGCCGATCCAGAACATCTGCTCCAATACAAGGACGTCGGTCCCATTTTTTCCTCCACGACTCTAAACTCACGGTTTAGAGGGGGCAGAGCACCCCCACAAACATCATGTCGCATAGATGCAGGCTGTAAGTCTGTGTACCGCTGCTAGAGATTTCACTCAGCTCCTCCCTAGTGTGAAGTAAGACACCTTAGGAGAGCTTCACGACCCAACTGCTTAAAGAAGAAAATCAGGTATTTGCGAGAGGAATAGCTTTTCTAGTCCTGAGAACGGAGGGTTCTCTTTCTGACGCCTTCGCCGGCCTAGCTGAGCTCAGCGCTCTCTGATGTAGGTGGCGGGGCTGTGACCGGGACTCGCCTCTCCCATCTGAGGATGTTTCTGTACAGAGGGCTTGTTCTCTGGCCGCTCTATGCTCACCCATCTGCGCTCCATTTAAATTCCCGATGACTTTCCAAAGCCGTTTGACATCACCTTTGTTCAATCTT